CTCTATGGGTGAGACGTCCTCTAAGACTCTCTTCCTTGACATCTCGCTCGGATGCCAGGGCATACACAGCAGCAGCAGGTCGGGCTGTCGCTTCATTGCACACTATGGTGATGCTCCAAGCATATCAGGCTGACCTGCTTAAAGACCGGGATAGCGGCCTTCACGAAGTCCAGGTCTGAACAACCCAGGGGTCCTAGCCCGTCTCGGTTTGAGGATCAGACATCGCTCCCCTCACCGTTATTGTGAGTATGGTGTTTTCTTTCGAGCGTTAATCCTCTCTGAGGAGTTGGATTCCTCGCTCCATGGGCTGTCCTCGTGGTAGTATTGAGCAGTGCTCCTCTTTATCAAAGGGTTACCTGGAATGAGCAACGCTATTCCTCTGAATTCAGAGTTTTACCGCCATATATATATATATATATATATATACACACACACACACACACATATATATATATATATATATATATATATAATTTGTGTGTGTATGTGTTACGATATAACTAGAAATGGCTCGATTACTCCAGCCTTTAGTGTCATATGATCCTTCAGAAATCATTCTAATATGCTGATTTGGTGCTTAAGAATAATTTCTTATTGTTATCAGTGTTGAAAACTGTGATTTTTTTTCAGGACTCTGTGATAAATCGAAAGTTCAAAAGAACTACATTTATTTGATATACAAATCTTTTGTAACATTATAAATGTCTATATTATTCACTTTTGATCAATTTAATGCATTCTTGCTCAATAAAATAACATAGTAACATAACTTCTGAACTGGATCCTACAGACATTATTTCCCTGCAAATTAAAAGCATAGCCAGACAGCACATATCTTACCATAACCCCACAGCTGCAGGCACTGCTGTTCATGGGTCAGACACATGCCATTATAGCAGTAGGCACGGCCATGCTGACACGATGACCTGTCCAGGAGGTAAACATTAGAGGGGCAATAGGGAGAACCTCCCGTGCAGTATTCCGGCAGATCACAGGCACCAGCTGCTCCACGGCACATAGTGCCGGCCTGCTTCAGCTGTGGGCAGAGGACATGGTAAGGAGACTGAAGGATTTTGATGAAAGAAAAAGAGAGCAGTTGGTGGGCAAACTACAGAGAAAAAGTGGATATTAAACTATGGTGCCTGGTGCATATACTAAGCCTGGTGCATCTCTAGAAAGCAAAAACACAGACAAGGTCTTCACTAGCAACTATTTTAAGCAACACATAAAATAAATAAATACAGTAACACTTTACAATTTACAATAAGGAGATTAATTATGCATTAACTAACACTAATTATCAATGAGCAATATATTTGTTACAGTATTTATTCATCTTTGTTAATGTTACTAAAAAAACAACTGTTCAAAGTGAATCATTGTTAGTGAATAATTAGTAAAACATCTACTGTAATACAATGAATTATGTTGATTACAAAAATGCAATTTCTTCAGAATACACAGGTAATTTGCAATGGTGTCAATGGGGAAAGATGTTTTTTGCGGCCAGGTGGTGTAGCTATGGCTTCTAAAAGCAGGGGTTAACAGGGACAGGCTAACTCGCTAAGCCTTGACCACTTGTATGAAACATATTAAGTGAGAGTCAGAACAGAGTGAGAGAGGGAAGCAGTGGGAGAGAAATAAATAAATAAATAGATAGATAAATAGACAGATAAATAGTTAGACACCTTGCAGTCCTCACAGCAGACCCCGTGGGCACACTGAGCATCCACCTTCAAAGTGCAATTGCTGGGGTGGCAGCAATCATTGGTGCACTCCTGCGGGAGACAGAAAACACACACACACACACACACAAAAACCACACACACACACACACAATTCCGATAAAGGCTACCAAAGCAAATCAACATATGGCCCTCAACTTACATGGTCAGCCACTTAGAGCAAGTTGTGAAAACACTATATATATATATATATATATATATATGCATAATGAATGCACTGTACACACACACACAGTGTCTGCTTGCATGCTATGATTAAAGTGTGGAAAATAAATTGAGAGGAGAAATTGCACAATTGGACGTTAGATGCATATAAAAATGTTTGACATGTATGACACTGATATATACAGCATGGAGGCATCTGACGGCCAATAATTATACCGTACAGCTGAAAATGAATAGGGGAAGGGGAGGAAGTGTGTGTGTGGTGTTTTAAGGGTGTTTAATGAGGAGGAAACAGTCACGACACACATATACGCTCTGTTACACACACACACAATGTCTTTCTGTCTCACATAAACACACAGCAACCTCTATTCTGCTTTATATGGTTTCAGAGAATAAAGTGCGACTGACAGCTATGATTATCACACTAGAAATAAATAAATGGTGTTATTCAGTGACTATAATGAAAATAGACATGCGTACATGACAGGCTTGAGCTGTGACTGTCAAATCTATTTTTGTGTATTCATGAAAGTGGAGAGTGCTGGCAGATGATGGTTTGGATTAAAAGGTTAGAACAAAAGTGTATGATAACAGCTCCCAGTTCAGTGCTGCTGCAACCTAGCTTTTTCTATCAGGTGATTGCTGAGGTGTTGTTTCACTGAATATGGTATTGACAGCAGGTAAAATCCAGAAGAGTAGTCCAGGTGTTTATGTATTGACTAGGAGTTACAGACACTACCTCATTCTTCCTGCCAGATGGCAAATCACCCAGCCATTATATGCACACTGACAGCCTGTCAAACACGGCTTTGCAGCAAGGTGGGATGCTCCCCTTTCTTTTTCTCTACACACATACAGGTATGCATGCAAGCAAACATAAAATGCATACGCTTTCATCTGTCACTCTTTGTTACGGCACCATTTTTCTGCTGTAGTTCAACTATTTATGTTCTAACATTTATGTTTGGACCTTCCATGTGGTAAAAACAAATCTTTTTGCTGTTTAGAAAAAGCTCTTCACAATAAAAAATTATAAAAAATACATTGCATAAATATATCAGGTATTCCTTGAATAAATAATACTTGCATAAAAATGGTAATCAATGGTAATCCATATTAAAGGGGTGGTTGATTGCGATTTCACTTTTTTAATGTTAGTTAGTGTGTAATGTTGCTGTTTGATCATAAACAATATCTGCAAAGTTACGAAGCTGAAAGTTCAATGCAAACGGAGATATCGTCTTTTAAAATTCTGGCAGTTAAATGCTAACAAAAACGACTGGTAAGGGACTACAACGAGTTACTTCCTGGGTCTGTTACGTCAAGAACCCAGAATTTTACATAAACCCCATCCGAGCACATGCCGCTATGTTGAGAGGCGGGACGTTTAGACACGCACTAGAGGCGGTTTAGCCAATCACAACACACTGGGCCAGCTAATCAATCAGAGCTCATTGTGTATTTCTGAGGGAGGGGCTTCATAAAAGCAGGAAATGATCAGCGCGTTCAGAGGAGAAGGGACAGAGAGGTGTGGAATAAAGGTACATTATGTGAAAAAGAATGCGTTTTTTAACAAACGAAGCATTAACACATGTTAGACTGCACCCCATAAACACAATAAAGCCTAGAAAAAACCCAGTCAACCACCCCTTTAACTATCAAATTTTGACTTATTGCATATATATTTCATAGCCACTATTGTTCTTGGAAAAATGACTAATTCATGATTGGTCTGATTCAGTATTCTCTCAATCAATAAGTAATTCCATTCAATAATTAATCTAGGCACAAATCACCTCTGGTTCTCCACAGTCACACTCCTCCCCTTCCTCTACAAAGCCGTTTCCACACCTCTTGCCACCGACCAGATCCTTCATGTTGGGCATGTTGAACAGGCACATTCCTCCTCCCTTCTGGAAGTAGTTGTCCAAGTCTTTTTTGCTACAGCGACTGAAAACTTTTGGAAAGGGGTGCCTGTAGACCATTTTAGAAAGGGATATATGTCATTTTTATGCATGAAAATGACAAAACAAAAGGTGCAAAAGGTGTAGAAATAAGTACAAAAACTTCCAATTTGTTAAACATCTACAGTCAGCCGTAGACACTGAGGCAGATGCACTTGAACATCGGTTTATGATGAATACAGTAACACAATTATAATTAAAACATGGTCTTCATATAAAATGAAAAGAGGAATAGTGAAGTTTCCAAAACTGTTTTTCACCTTTTTATACCTTGGACAAATAAAAAACACCTTCCTCCTCTCTATGCCAAGTGATATCCTCTGATTTTCTGTCTTACCTTTCCTCTACTGCAGGGGCACCAAAATCAAGGGGTCACTTAACCCACTTCATCTCAATCATGTTTCAAACCAATTCACTCTACTAAAACCACTATCCTTGCCATAAATGATGTGCTTACGTCAGCCACTTTTAATCTCATGCTTGCAGCTGTTTTTTTATCCAGAAAAAGTTCTTTATGGCACTTGTCTGTCTTATGTATTAGTTCTTACCCAGTTACCTGGAAAACTGCTGCACCCTTAACACTGGAGTTCCACAGGGATCAGTGATGGGCACCCTGCTATTCTCCATTTATACCAGATCTCTCAGAACATTTCTCCAATTGCATGGCACATCATGTTCCCCCTTCTTTCTATAAATCAGTGTTTTCAGAATGGATCTGAGCATACCTTTGTGACATGCATCTCTCATTTTGCCCCTGAGACTATATGCAATGCCATCATGGATGGCGCCATATCAAACTTGATGTACAAGATGTTCATGGTATCTTGTTTACTTGCTACTTTATCAGGCATCACACAAACAACTGTTTCTTAGCAGATTTTCTAGAAGCCAGATTGCAGCTGGTGATTTCAGCCAGCTTTAGGCAGTTTTGTGTGCAATATACAATTCTGTACTGAATCAGAAGCCATTACTGCAGTCTTCAGTGTCCTTCAGAAATCATTTTAATATGCTGATTTGGTTCTCAAGAAACATTTATTATTATTATCAATGTTAAAAGCAGTTGTGTTGCTTTTTTTTTCTTACTGACCCCAAACATTTGAATGGTAGTGTACATCAGATGGTCAGTGAATGGTCTGCAGGTGTGCAATCTGAAGTGAGATTAATCATGCTTGACTCATCCTTAGGGACTTATCATTAGCAACCAAGTATGTACTTGTACAGTAGCATCCTGTCTATGCATTAGTTTAGTAATGACACAATTAGAAGTAAAAATTATTTGAAAGTGCCCAGGGTTCTTTGAGTAATTAGCATGCTTTTGCAATTACCGTGATTTATGTTCTGCATTGTTGGTTATTTATAAAAGGAAGCTAAAAGCTTCAATGTAATGCAAATGTAGAAGTCTTTACCCTGTAGCTGCCGCCATGACACATCCACCCTGCTCCGCTGTGGCCTCCACGCAACAGCCCTCATGGTCGTGGCTCATGCCAATGTTATGACCGATCTCATGTGCCATGGTGGCAGCCGCCCCAATGGGCAATTCAGAATGATCCTGGAAGAAAAGATCATTTAATCTACCAGCCATAACAAACATCACAATAAATGAAATGGAAGCTCAAGCACTGCTTTAAGAGTCTGTCTAAAATGATGAATTCAATATACAGGATTAGAGTATTTGCCATGCTGCCATGCAATAAATTAATTGTATTGTATGCTTTAAATTGGACATAAAGGCTATTTGTAGCCAACAGGCTTCTGTCGTTGCTATGCCACGTTGCCACAATTCCAACACTACAGTTTGTAAATGGCAGTAGAAGCCCAGAGGACATCTCTGATCTCCAAAGGCATCTTTGTTATGTTACAATGATGCCATAAATTGTAGAGGATGATGTTTTTTGACCTGCAGGTAGTAATTTAAGTACCTTGGCTGGGGCAAACAGAATGAACTTTCTTTTATCTTCATACCGTGACACAAACATAAAGGAGCACAAATGGATATATCTGCAAGGGCATGCAGTGTTGATTTCTTTTACAGATGGCACTGATAATATCTCCACTTCATAACAACGTTGAAATATGACATGCAGTTGTATTACAAATGATTTCTCTTTATGGATTTTCTATCTCTTAAATATCTCCCTAGGAACCACATTGTCATATACTGGTTCTAAAGTATTTGAGGAATGTGAAGGAGCTTTATGTCAAGGGATGCTTTCTCAGACCATAGTCCAGGAGAAGACCACACATGTCCAACAGTGAGTCTACTGGACATTCACTCACTATAAAAATGTTGGTAATTAAAAAAAAATGCTACAGCAAAAACTTGTAATTGGTTAACTGTAAATTACCTTAAAATATACGTTTTATCACATTATGTGTAACTTTACTGTAAATGTATGGTTACTGTGATTTATTAACGTAATTACAAGGAAAACAGTAAAATTATATCCTAGAAATCCCTGTGTGACACTGATTATATTTTATTTAAATTATACATGTTATATAATTTCTATAATTTCATCCTCTCAGATGGTCAAAATATTTTTTTTCCCTTCTCACCAACATCACTTTATAAGCACACAACATTGCTATTTTCAACCCTAACACGAGAGGATTCATAAAATAACTTCTGAATATCAACAATCTTGATAAATAACTAGCTGTCGACTGCAGTGCCACTCACACAGCACATACCATACCAAACAAATTCACTCAAAATATGATTGTGACTTCTGAAAACATCACACAGTTACTACGAACACACAAAGATGAAGAATAAGGTTTAGCAAGTCTTTAATCCAACACACTGGTAATCCAACAAGGGTTAACATAGGGTAGCATAAATGCAGATGCTGATGAGACCAGACAAACTAGAACTGAACACAGAAACTTAAATACACAGACCAAACAAGGATAATTAACTCCACGCACCTGAACAAAATTACAATTAATTCAATGAAGGGGAACGGTGCAAGAGGAAAACAAAGTTTAAACTGAATGACATTGTGACGATCACTTAACTACACACACCTGAACAAAATGACACAATTAAGTAGGCTATAGACTAAGCAGGCTATATTGATGTAATGTAGAATGACCCCATCCATGTGTAATATCCAGACGAAAAGCTTGACCACTCATTAGTATTCTGCAAAGTGATCCTCTCCCGCCACACAAAGTAATAGAACCAATAAGAGGCTAATCAGGTGTGTCGGAGCTATTGATCACTTTATCAAATCCCTGCATGAGCTGTACACAAACACACACATTATATACACAGTGTTTACAGCCTGTTCTAGATGCAAGCCTGCATGCTTTCTTACCACGTTGATGCCTCCCGAGTTCTCATGACTGCACATGCCCTCCAGCGGAGCCATGCCAATGGTGGTGCCCTTGAAAATCACACCACTGCAGGGAAAACAATATAAACTTTCAGCTATGATTTCAATAAAAATGTATATCCCTTTAAAGGGATAGGTCAACCAAATTGAAATTTCTTTCATCATTTACTCACCCTCATGTCATTCCAAACCTGTATGACTTTCATTGTACTGCAGAACACAAAATAAGATATTCTGAAGAATGTTGGTAACCAAACAGTTTTCTCTTTTTATACGTGTTTTTTTCATACAGGTTTGGAATGACTAGAGGGTGAGTAAATATGAAAGAATTTCAGTATTTATGTGAAATATACCATAAAAAATATCAGAAAAAAACGGACTAATTATATTTTTAAAAACTTAATACAACACCATTAAAATATGTTACAGTGAAACGCTGAAAGAGCTGAAATGACAATAAAGCTACTCTGACAGTATTGTTCTATATGTGCATACAGTTGGTGTGTTTTGTGACTAACGTGAGTAGTTGGGCATTGTCATGTTTCTTGCGGGATTTAAGTTTCTGTCTCCACTGAAGGAAGGACCAAAGAGTCGAATTTGGCTCCTCATTGATGATGCACTGATCATGTTCAGTCCAAACCTCTAGACCAATCAGAGGTACACGGATGTTCAAGTCTCTGTAGAACTGATCAGACCAAAACAAATAATTAGGATTTCATTTTTGTTAAATATAATTATAATACAGACATCTAGGAATTTCGCATTATGGAATTTTCGCAATATGCAGTCTAAACAGTAAACAAAACCTTTGAACCAAAGAAATGCACTCAGGCTTGACATACCTTATCTACATAATTAGCAATTTCCATTATCCTCATTTTAGTTTTGTAAAGGTCCTTGTTTTGCTTTCTGTACTGTAGAGACATGAAGAAATGCTAAGAGGCAAATTGATCAAGACGAACATACAAATGCATAGACTCTGCTTGAGAAATTGCAAAAACCCTGTTACAGAGAAATTTGATTAACTAAATCCAGCCATAATGAAATATTATATAACCTCCTGCCTCTTTTGGCTTTTGGTGGATATTATACAGATTCAATGTATATGTATGAAAGAATTCAATCAGAAAACTCAACAGAATGTAACACTGGAAGATTGTCTGCATGCCCCTCATGAAATGTATCCCTCATACACGAGGACTAAAAATTAAACTATTAAATTCACTGATAACTTCTTGATAGCTCCTCATACATGTAAGATATTGGCAATGGGAGTGATAGAAAAGAGAGGGAGAGAGTGAAAAGGCACTTCTGAAGCTTTAAATTTAAGCAGCAATTGCTCAGAGGCCAAATTTGAATGAGAATGTAACACTAGGCATAAAGTACCGGTTCTAAAGTACAGTTTATATAACTCAGCCTGTATTTGAAGCTTTAAAGCCTTAATTCATGTGGCGAACTTTACTGTGTGTAAGTGTCTAATTAGTGGAAATGAGCATGACACAGGCATCATCTGCTTACCAGTGTGTTGTCAGCTACTATATAGAGTTCCATGTATTTTGTAGTACCCCAGGCATTTCGTCTAACCTAGGGGTGGGGATAAATACAGAAACAAACAAACAGCAAACAAAATAAAATGTTAATTGCTGGAGGGAAGGATTTATGGATTGGTTTCTCTAGTCTCTTGGTTTTACATCCATTCAATAAATGTCTGTCTGCAACAACTTAAGTAATTAAAGGGGTCATATGATGCGATTTTAAGTTTTCCTTTCTCTTTGGAGTGTTACAAGCTCTTGGTGCATAAAGAAGATCTGTAAAGTTGCAAAGACTAAAGTCTCAAATCCAAAGAGATATTCTTTATAAAAGTTAAGAGTCAGTCATGCCTACCTAAAACGGCTCATTCTAACACGCCCCCACATATCTACGTTACTATGTGGAAATATTAGCATAATGCCGCCCAAATGTGCACGCAAAGAAAGAAGGCGTGGTTTCAGGAACCGCAGTAATGTTGATGCAGCCATGTCAGGGAGAGCTGTGTGTTTCAGTGCGAAAGCAAAAGCACTTTATTTGGCCTTCCAGAAGTAGATGCGACACTAACGACATTATTAACTGTCTTGATATTTACTTTGAAAGCTGAAGCAATTATGGGTTGGGGCATTACATTTCCGACGCGTACTTGTGGTGTTCGGCCAATCACAATGCACTGGGTAAGCTGGCCAATCAGAGCAGACTGCGCTTGTAAAAGGAGGGGGCTTTGTTGAAAACGACGTGTTTGAGAGAGGCGGGGCATAGAGGACCTACAATAATGTACAGTATTTGAAAAATAATGTGTTTTTTGAACATTAAAGCATGTCAACATATTCTGTTACACCAAATACACCAAATAATGATCTTTAAAATAGCATCATATGACCCCTTTAAGTGGCAATTGTATTAAATCACACATATTGAATTTACTATAAAATAATTGTTTGTGCACATAATGTTTTTTTACAAACTGAATACAAAAGCTCAAAGACTGTATGCAACAATATTGCCATCACTACTGTTCCTCATATTTGTTTGCATTTTAACTGATGGGTCTAATTTACTCGAAAAACTGCTTTGGCACAGTAATCACAAAAGTGACAGCTAGCACTTTACAGTAACCAAGCAGTAAATAAAATGTGAGTGAAACAGTAAAATAAGCAGAAGAACAGAATGTTCATATAAGTCATCTTCCTTGGCAACCAGAGGAAAATAAAGGTGCGACTTGATAAATGTTCATAAGCAATAAAAATGAAAGCTCTCCATTCCAAAATGAGTCTCGTTAGGAACTCGTTTGTATGCCTACTAGCAATAGGGATAGTTGGAAATTGAATGAATCTGGGATATTTAAAGACTCAAAGGTACACAGGGACATACTGTACTACAGTATATATGAACCTCAAAATTCAGGAACTTGGTAATCCAATTGTACCAGGAATACATCATTACTGCGGAGGAAGCACATTAGTCCAAACTGTTTATTAATTTATGGACCCTCTAATTCTCATTTGTACTGCTCGGCTTTAATGAGAAAGCAAGTGCAAGCAGAACAATAGCAGTAGGAGGGCTCCCAACTCCTGCTAATGATCCTCAAGAGTTTTGTAATAAGCCCACATTATGCACTTCATCAGTCTGAACACTTAACCTGGGCTTAAGATGGCTTTATTTCTGTACTGTAATGAGCCAAAACACACTTTTCTTTCTGCAGCACATTATGGGGACATACGAAATTACTGACGCACAATGCAAACACAACAGCTTTGCGTCAGACCTCCATAATCTTTTTTTTGTAAGTGGCCTATCTAGTCATTATAGATTGGAGGGAACAGAACATCTTTGCTTTTGTGAGAGAGAAATTTCTTCTGACATCATACACAATCTACTCATGTGATCAGAAATAGAGACTTAGACACACTGAATAATGATGGTAATGACTGACTGTTATTTCCCTAATGACTATTATGCTTACAATCTAGTGAGAGCTACTTTACAAAATGAGATTTTTTGTCATCTGTGGAAAGGACTGATTAAATAGACTGTTTGCATGACATCTATTTCAGTGAAATATACTGTAAAAATCAACATTTATTACCAAGTCTCTTCATTTTATGAGATATTAAATGATGACATGGAAGACACCATAAACGAAAATGTAATTTCTGACTGACCCTTTGATGCAAAGGTTTAAGGTGACCACTGAACAGGCTGATGTGTCCAGTCTGATGGCTGTGTCCACAGGTGCCGGTTTTGATCGGCAGGTCTTCAGTGCGATAGAAAGTGTGGTGGAGAACCTCCTGGCCTCTGATTGGCTCCAGGTAGTATGTATCATTTGAGTTCAAGACAATCAAACCTCTGCAGAAGGAAATGGGAGTAATGTCAGCTCAAATGCTCTCTTGTTAAAGTTGTGTCAATTGTCAGTCTACTCAATTTACTCACCCTCATGTGGTTCCAAACCTGTATGATTTTATTTCTGAATAAATAAAGATATTTTGGACCCTAAATAACATTGGACCCCATTGACTTTCATTGTATGGGCAAAAAACCCAGAGAGTCATATGGGTTTGGAACAACATGTTGAGTAAATGCTGGCAGAATTTTTGGTGAACTATTCGGGTAAGGTACTAGTACTATTTAAGAATACCAGTAAAAGAGATGTGCATATCTATGAGTTCATTTTCATTTGATCTTTATCTCACAAACATATATACAGTGGGTACGGAAAGTATTCAGACCCCCTTAAATTTTTCACTCTTTGTTATATTGCAGCCATTTGCTAAAATCATTTAAGTTAATTTTTTTCCTAATTAATGTACACACAGCACCCCATATTGACAGAAAAACACAGAATTGTTGACATTTTTGCAGATTTATTAAAAAAGAAAAACTGAAATATCACATGGTCCTAAATATTCAGACCCTTTGGAGTAGAATTTTAATGCCTCGTGATCCTTCTTTTAGCCTCAGTATAGTTAACAGCATTAAGTAGATATGCATTAACTAATCAGAGGGATCAGAAGGGCCGCTGAAATGCTGCTGGATTTGAGATCTCCCAGAGCACCTCTACAGCACACTCTAAATTTGACCTCTGTAAAAAGTTTTCAATCAGTACATTTGAAAAATATATTAAAAATAAAGTCCATGAGACGGCAGGGTGACCCTTTTGCCATTTCATATTTCAGATTGGTGTTCTCGAGTCGCCCCCTTTGTGCCTACGATGTGTCCTCAATATGCATTTTTTTTGTTGAGTCTGCAATGATGTGAGTTCCACAGTGGACCTCTAATCGAGTTTATGCAGCACTATGGCAAGGACTTGGGGCTAAATTTGGGACAAGGTCTTTAGAGCAGAGGTCTTCAACCCTGTTCCTGGGGACCCACTGTCCTGCAGATTTTAGCAACAACCCTAATCAAACACACCTAAAGCAGCTAATCAAGCTCCTCGGGACTGCTTGAAAATACACAGGTGTGCTGATGCAGGTTGGAAATAAACTTCGCAGTACAGTGGGTCCCCAGGAGCAGGGTTGAAGACCTCTGCTTTAGAGTTTGATTTACTTGTGTATACTACCACTCAAAGGTTTGGGGTTAGTGCGATTTTTATTTATTTATTTGAATGAAATCAATACTTTTATTAATCAAGGACACAATAATTGATCAAATGTGACAATAAAGACTTTTATAGTGTTATATATTTGGTTATATATTTAAAAATGTTATGTATTATAATAACAAAACCATTTGTTTACGCCCCAGGGCATCCAATTATTATCTTCAAAATGAGGATTGTCATTTTCCCCAAATTGACAACAGGCAAGCAGAAATGACTCAGGGTATGGCTTTATAATAGTTCATGACACCAAAACTGCAAATATGGCCATGATTTGATTTGCCTTGGCATAAATGTAATGATATTTTTGAAATAATAAATAATAAAGTAAATATTTAATAAGAATAATAAAACAATCAACTACATTACAGTCAAATTTTTAAATGGACTGATGCCTCTATTAACTGTAGACTATGTCACACATCAGTGCGTGACGTCCATTGAGCTGAGGGTAAGGAAACACAAAAGTCGCCTTGAGAAACGCCACATGAAAACATACAGTTCTAATTACGTTTGCTCTTGCAAAATCTTGCAACAGCTGTTCAATGACTTGATCTGTCTTCATAAGAAATTCAAGACCTTTGGCAATATCTAGAGACAGACTCTCAAGGGCTTTGCCCTTAAAAACACTGTTATTTTCATATAACTGGCTAATCAACTCAATATAAACTCTGTATGTCAAAAGAATGACTGCTCTCAGAGAGTACATTTGCACACTGAATGATCAGCAATGAAAGCAAACACACTTTAGGGAATGTTGATTCATCCCACAACTATCCTGACTGCTGCTCTCCGATTTTACACAATTTTCCAGAGTAAATGACATTTAACCAATTATGTAGCCAACACATCTTTTGTATTTCAAATTATTTAAACTGAATGTGTTTAACTGTTTTCTTTTTTTTCTCTGCAGCCTCTTCCCTGATACTACTTCATAACTTTCATTATCATAAAATAAAATATTATCTGATGATCAGTAGTTCATGTACAATCAAAAATGGTTACACACTACCATTCAATAGTTTGGGCGTTGTAAGATTTTGTAATGATTTGAAAGAATTCTCTTTTGCTCACCAATGCTGTATTCATTATATCAAAAATACAGTAAAAACAGTAATACCATCACAATTTATTGTATTAGATTTTTTCCTGTGATGGCAAAACTCATGATTCTTTGATGAACAGACATTTCAACTGAACACTCTTTTTTTACATTTTATAACACTTATTTAAAATAACATTATACATGTCTTCACCATGTCCTTGCTGAATACAAATATTAATTTCAATTTCAAGATCTTACTGACCTCAGAAGTTTGACAGGTCTATATGAAGTGTGTATTGGATGTACATTAACTAAAGTTCAAAAACGAATGGTTATATAATGTAGCAATGATTATTTATGACATAACCATAATAAAGAATACTATATTTAACATATTATCTTACCCATGACTCATTGTCAAAGCCCTCCAGTAACATAAATGTGTAGTAAAATAAAAATAATCCTTTATTTAATACCATGACATAACCTTAAACTTATGAAACATTCTTATAAACTTATAAAACATTCACTTGTGTATGTTTCAAAGACACAGAACTTTGGTTTGTATCTCTAGGCATTAGCTTTAAATTCAGCAGCAACAGACAGGGGCAGATGCAGTTTCAAGGTTGTTTGCGTATATTGTTTATAAGTAGAGAGAAAGCTTTCAGTGCTGAACGAGGACTGAGCACAACAAACTATTAACATTCTGGTAGGGCCACAGCATTAGTCATCAGTGCTTATATTCAACAACCTGGCCAAAACATTTCTCCTCTTCACAAATTAAGCACACAGAATTGTGCTGCATATGCAAAATTATAGTTGGCCGACTTTTTGCAAGCACACATGAAGAGTATCATCTAGGTTTACTTTCTCTCTATGGAACATTTTGTACTTTCATACATCCATGCAAACCCATAAACAAATACTTGCTCACAACATCTTATTCACACAACTAACTGAAAAAAGCAAAAACAGTCATACAATATAATACCCACAGGGTGCTCATACAATCAAGCAGTGTACATCCTTATCACACTAAGCTGCGTGGCATTTTAGCCTTCCTAAGACATGTGACCGAATGAAATGAGCGTATTGTGTCTGAAGAGAATCCAATTACACAAGACATGACATACCTCATTCCCAAACATGTGCTCAGAGCGACCCAAGATTCAGCATGACCTCTGACCCTCCCGTGATAGAAGCAATGATCCTGGAGATGGAAGAAGAGAAAGAGATTACTGGAGGCAGGGCAAAGAAAAACGAGATAAGAGGGAGCAGTTTGCTCAAGAGACAGGCTGCGGAGTTAATGTTGTTCATAAAATGGGCAAACCCCAGTTAATGGAACAGATATCTAATTAGTAGTAAAAAGACTACATCTGTAAATCACAATTACATTTGTTAAATTTTTGGCTTTCAGGTTTATTGGACTTAATTAGTCTGCCTCTTTTTGATTTAAGCTCCAAAAAACTTCCGGAGTTTACAGTTAACATTTGGAAAATAATCGCTCCATTTCACTCTACTGAAACAGATCCAAACTACGTATAAGTGATATTCTTTCAGCTATTCAAAAGGCTTATATGAACGGTCAGACCGTGAAATTAGTTCATTTATTTAAGCAGACAGGAAGCAAAAGAGGGATGGTCAAGCACCACAGACACAAATCAACAGTCTCCGAAGACAACGCTTGACAATCCCTGCTTCCAAAATATATCTACTTCTCTACTAGTACCTGGATGACCTACTACCAGGGCCGTGCACAGGGGGGGTGGCCCGGTGGCTAGAGCCACTGCCACTTTGCCCTCATCGGCTGAGTTGCCCCTCTCACCAATCCCCCCATCACCCCAGCTCTGTTACCGCTCGTGCGCGGATTTCCTTTGCTCTCGCACAAAACCGAACACTCTCGCTCAGATACACGCTACTCTCGCCCGGAGAGAGTGCGTGCACTTAAAACGTGTCTCTCCTCTCACTCAAACTGTGTCCTGTGCACTCTCAAATATCTCTGTGCTCATGCACTATAGATATTAATTATTTTCGCACCTGAATCTTAAATCTTATGATTTAAGACAGAACTATTTAGATATGGGTCAGATGCACTATTCCCTAAACCTATACTTTTGATTTGGAGACCAAATATAACACTATAATGAATTTTTCATATTTGCCATAACATTACTACATTCTATTCTATGGGTTTAATGCATTTGCAGACAATGTAATTACATGTAACTGTCATATAACTGTATATTCACTGTTTAGAAGAGAGTGCCATTGAATGTGTAGCTAATATTAGGTGGATTTTCATGAAAAAAACCCCCCAACAATTCAGAACTGAAAACAAAATATCTCCCAATAAATGTCCAAACAGTGATGCTATTAGAGCATTTATTGTATTATATCTTGCATCATTTACATCTATTTTTACATTTGATGTTGATTTGAGGAGTTGTTACTTATTATTGCCATCATACCAACTGAGAATTTATTGCAATGATTTTAAATTCAGTTGAGGTATCTGACATATTATGACATAACATTGATGTTTTATATGAAGTCTTTAGAGCCATAGGCTATAATATGTTGTTTTTAGATAACTTGCTCAGAGACCACCAACAAGTTTGTCACAGTCTTCAGCGGGTGTGCCCAGGATGGCCACCAGATGACTGTTTTCTGTGAGCACATGGCTTGTGTTGTGTTTGTTTGTTGCCATGTGCTCTCTCCTGTCTATTGTCTTGCCCCGTCCATCTTGTTACCTCATTATTGTTTAAGTTGCTCCACCTGTGTCTCCCTCGTTAGCCTCCTCGGTTGGTTTCCCATTTATTCTCCTGGTGTCTGTAATCCTGGGCTGATCTGTTGTTTTTCATTGTGCGTGTTATGTCTGCATGTAGTGCAGTTTCGAGCCTGCCTGTCTGTTTTTCCCCTTCGGGGGGGTTTGAGTTTGTTTTTGTTTCATTTTATTATTAAAGAGAGAACCATTCCTCCTGCACTTGAGTCCTCGCTTCCTCTATCCTCACGCACCGTGACAGAGTTGGACAGTGGTTATATGTACTAATCATCCAAGCACCCAATTCCTAGCCATGTCTAAAGGCTACATTTCATTAACATTGCTAAATATTATTAAACAGGAAAGAAGTTAAAGATCCATCTTTGATTGTCAACAGAATTCCAGGTTCAGTTCACTCAGCCAATTAGATTTCAAGTAGTATTTTCATCGGTCAGTTGTGGAGGTCTGATTGGTTAAAGCTTTATTTATATAGCACCTTTTAAAACGGTGTATACAAAGTAGCCTACGTTACAAAGAGGTGCATATGTGCATTCGCAGAAAAGATCAAAATACAAACCTAAAAGAGATATAGTAAAACAAAGTAGCTACAATAAGTTTGTTAAAACAAAAATACAACAATAAAAAAAATCAAGGAAAGGCCCTGCACAAATCTGTTTTGAGACTACTTTTTAAAAGTGCATTACTTTTGACGTTTAATTCAGGTGCGAAAATAATTCATATCTATAGTGCATGAGCATAGAAAGATTTGAGAGTGCACAGGACACTATTTGAGTGAGAGGAGAGACACGTTTTAAGTGTGCGCACTCTCTCTGGGCGAGAGCAAAGGAAATCCGTGTGAGAGCGGAGAGATTCGAGCTCGCGCAATATATTAATGTGCTTCCGCGCTACAATAATGCGCTCTCGACATCTGTCATTAAAATAACGCCATAAAAAACAGACTAAGTTTGTTGGCCATTAGGGTAGGGACTACAGGTGGAAAGATATGTGTGATATATCAAATAAACTACAAATAATATGTATATACATTATGATAAACTAAACCAATAATATCACATTAAAATACCAGTTTATAATTCAGATATTTAACTTAACTACAGTGCCTTATGGTGGGGTAAGTTAAAATGCTGACTCAATTTACCCCACAACATTTGTCTCACTTTGCCCCATAGCTGCCATTTTGGACAAAATAGCTACTGTAGCTTACCAGTTCAGGCTAATTTAAGTTGCTCCACCTGTGTCTCCCTCGTTAGCCTCCTCGGTTGGTTTCCCATTTATTCTCCTGGTGTCTGTAATCCTGGGCTGATCTGTTGTTTTTCATTGTGCGTGTTATGTCTGCATGTAGTGCAGTTTCGAGCCTGCCTGTCTGTTTTTCCCCTTCGGGGGGGTTTGAGTTTGTTTTTGTTTCATTTTATTATTAAAGAGAGAACCATTCCTCCTGCACTTGAGTCCTCGCTTCCTCTATCCTCACGCACCGTGACAGAGTTGGACAGTGGTTATATGTACTAATCATCCAAGCACCCAATTCCTAGCCATGTCTAAAGGCTACATTTCATTAACATTGCTAAATATTATTAAACAGGAAAGAAGTTAAAGATCCATCTTTGATTGTCAACAGAATTCCAGGTTCAGTTCACTCAGCCAATTAGATTTCAAGTAGTATTTTCATCGGTCAGTTGTGGAGGTCTGATTGGTTAAAGCTTTATTTATATAGCACCTTTTAAAACGGTGTATACAAAGTAGCCTACGTTACAAAGAGGTGCATATGTGCATTCGCAGAAAAGATCAAAATACAAACCTAAAAGAGATATAGTAAAACAAAGTAGCTACAATAAGTTTGTTAAAACAAAAATACAACAATAAAAAAAATCAAGGAAAGGCCCTGCACAAATCTGTTTTGAGACTACTTTTTAAAAGTGCATTACTTTTGACGTTTAATTCAGGTGCGAAAATAATTCATATCTATAGTGCATGAGCATAGAAAGATTTGAGAGTGCACAGGACACTATTTGAGTGAGAGGAGAGACACGTTTTAAGTGTGCGCACTCTCTCTGGGCGAGAGCAAAGGAAATCCGTGTGAGAGCGGAGAGATTCGAGCTCGCGCAATATATTAATGTGCTTCCGCGCTACAATAATGCGCTCTCGACATCTGTCATTAAAATAACGCCATAAAAAACAGACTAAGTTTGTTGGCCATTAGGGTAGGGACTACAGGTGGAAAGATATGTGTGATATATCAAATAAACTACAAATAATATGTATATACATTATGATAAACTAAACCAATAATATCACATTAAAATACCAGTTTATAATTCAGATATTTAACTTAACTACAGTGCCTTATGGTGGGGTAAGTTAAAATGCTGACTCAATTTACCCCACAACATTTGTCTCACTTTGCCCCATAGCTGCCATTTTGGACAAAATAGCTACTGTAGCTTACCAGTTCAGGCTAATATTTAGCTAAATGATTTGCATTGTTTTATATGTTGCTAAATCACCTATGTATCATAAATATGTTTAGACCTGGATAAATTTGCTTTGATGTAACAACCATATCATCTGTTATGCTCAAATTTTATTTTAACAAGCCAAAACAAGTTTTTAAAGCAAATGGGTGCCTTCCACTCCTCTCATGTGTTTCTCCTTTTCACAGTCTGGCATAAATGATTGGTGGTTCCAAAATACATGGTCACATGATAGTAAAAGTGTACAGTTGCCAAGATACAGGTGGCTGGTCAACTACCCACTGGCTCAACTTACCCCACTCTCCCCTACTTCCATTGAAGATGAGGCAGAAGCAGGCTCAGAGAGTGAGGGAGAGCCCACTCTTATCAACACATCTACAATAAAGTCTGAAATTATTACAGAGTGTGCTGTCTTCTCTTTTAATTGTATATATGTAACAACTGGATATTTGTATTAACAAGCACCCACCCTCCTAGTGCCCCTTTTTTGGTTTTGGGCCACTGCCCCTCAAAATGTCTGTATACGGCCCTGCTTACTACTAAGTGTGACTAAGTGTGCGGGTGGGTGTTGTGACTGAAATCAGCAGCAGTACTTCCTCTTTTTCCTGTCAGTGCTTCCTCTTTGTCTCTATTGTTGTCAGCAGATCAAAATTGCACACCATTTATTCACAGATCCATTCCATGCCATCATTACAACCATAGGGAATATTTTCATTTCCAATAACTGGAACTAAGACATAAAACTGATTTGCTATAATGTGAAGCCTGCACACTGACAGTTTAATCTTCCCACTGTAGGACTCATGAATATTTGATTTTCTTTGATTTGATAGGACTAAGGTTTGCTTAATGACTTTTTTATGAAGTTATAAATACAATGCTAATTAAACCTCTTTGAGTGTGTGTGTGTGTGTGTGTGTGTGTGTGTGTGTGTGGTGTTACTAAAGGGGGAAAATTCCAACCTGATTGTTAACCAGCTGGCTTAGGGATCAGTCCCTTCTGTCATATTTTTCTTTTCAGATGCTGGTAGTCAAAGAAAGATAGAAGAAGGAGAAATCCTCTGCGATTTTCCCTAGATTGAATTACTTCGTCTATCACAACATGGAGCGAGAGGGGTGCTGTGATCTCTGCGGTAACTAAAGCGAACTGCTCATTCCCTTCAAAAGCTCTTTGTGTGTTTGCGCCCAATGGTGAGCTGTATGGCCATCCTGTGCTGCTCACTCAAGGGGGCAGCTGGAAGCTGTTAAAAGGGCTCAAAAATAATCAGGGGTGTGACTTCACTCCCATCAACCCTTGCCAAGTGATGGAAACCCAATTACAAAGCTCAGAGCTTGTGCAGGGACTGCAAGTGGATTTGGGATCCTTCATAACAGTCTGGAAAGGCGGTTTACGGCTGAAGAAATTCGCTTGTGGTTTTGTATCCTTTCCTGGCTAATCAATAAGTTGGATTTTGGGGATGCGTGGAGCCAAACAAGACTGTTTTGCACTGAACAGGCAGCGTGAAAAATCAAGCAATTTTGTCTTATATTCCGAGTCCCACTTTTTGATATCGAGTCGCTCTCATCCTTGATTGAACCCAGCACTTCACATCTCAACCACATTCAGAGGAAGCACATAAGTGACAAGTCACAACTTTCTGCAAGATTTAGCAATACATTATCTGTATAAAATCTGCCTTCTGCAGCTAAAATATATTGTAATGGAACCTCCTGAGTCTTCTTTGCCCGTTAACTGAATGTTTTGCAGGAATTGGAAATAAGGAAAGAATTATTCATGACAAAAATATCCCTACTGGCAGCATTAGACTGTTTACTGGCTACATTGTATAAGGGTGTTTATTTGTGATTTGAGTGTTCAAGTACATTAATAAGCCTTCTCATGTTCTCACATGTGAGAAAGACAGAGATAGCACAAGATTGATAGCTGACTGTAAAAACTGAACTAAACATTGCTGTTATATTGCAGTATTTTATGCAGTAAAAATTACTGTATTGCAGTAAGTAGAATATAAAAAAATCTGAGTACCAAGCATATACATTTTTACATTGCTAAAGTAAAATGCATTACAGTAATGAAACTTTTGAGGGGAAATGTGTTTAACTGTCATGACGATGTCACAATGCAAAAAGTCATCATTGATTTATAGTGTCAAATTTTATTTATTTTTTTACTTTGGGAGAAAATATGACTGATATTTGTTTTGTGAGATACACTCCTAAACAAATTATTTATAAATTAGGGCTATCAATCTTTTAGTTTTTTTTTTTATTTCATTTAACTGCTCATGGCACATGACTCATTACATGATATACTCATTAGATAATTTAATGTCTTAGAATAGTGATAATTCTAAGTTAATTCTAAACAAATGAGTTTAATTGACATGCTAAAATAACATTTAGGTTTTTAACATTCTGTTGTAAAAATATAAATCAAGCTTTACATGTCAAGCAACACAATGAAACTGAAATATGAGAACTGAGAAAAGCAGAGACATAGAGGAACAAAGACAAGCACACACACACGCACACACACACACACACACACACACACACACACACACACACACACACAGAGGTCTCAGTCCTGCTTACAGTGTGACTGCTGGTTTGGGTGACAGGGAGGCCATTCTCGTAGTGAGTTTCAGTGAAGTCGTGACCCAGGAGCTCCCTAAGAGAGACAAAATGAAAAAAACAAGCTGTCACTGTGATATCACTACACACACATACACATTTGGCGGAGGTTTATGCCATTTCAATAGCAATACTTTGCCTTTTCAAGCAATGCTTTGCACATTGAGATACAGAGAAAAGATGTTTCTATACATGTTACAGGGTTGAACTAACTACACAATCATAATGCACAGGATGAAAAATGGATATTCATTTTAAGTTTGCTATATATTATATTTAACAGTGTTTCAAATCATTTGTATTTACTGTAAGTGAGCATTAAAAAACAACAAAGTAATCTAAATGTAAAACTCCAAAATGTATTATTCAATATAGGATGATACACTACCATTCAAAAGTTTAAGTTCAGTAAGAGCTTTTCTGAATACTTTTATTCAAGCAAGGACGAAACAAATTCATCAAAAGTGACAGTACATTTATGTTGCTACAACAGGTTTCTATTTAAAATCAATGTTGTTCTTTCTACTCATCAGAGATTTTTTTTGGAGCACCAAATCAGCAAATTAGAATAATTTCTATATATAGACTGTCTATATTTATTTCTATGTATAGACTGATTCCAATACATTTCTAGTCTACAGAAACCAATATGGTATTGATAAATCATATAGCTATTACACATGTTTGTTCACATGAACATCATTTTAATCACAGACTCTCTGAATCATTAAAAATTATGCTCCCATTCAGATGGCAGATGTCATTTTCCTGTAAAAGCCTCACATGATTCAAAGCACTGGCTCAATGAGAGAAAATAAAAACATATGATCTCAACTAGCCATCAGTCCTGCTCTATTCCATCATTCCTTCAAGAAGTGAATCTTTCTTCATCATGCTGTCCTCTATCAGGAGATACCAGGCTGATAAGAGGCCAGGCTTTAGCTGGAGTGTTATTGTGTGGCGTTGGAAAGGGCTGGGGGTCAGAGCCATGATCTTGTCAGAGAGGGAGGCTATGATTAGAGCAAAGGGTGTGCAGGATGTGAGGACTGACTCTGTAATCTAGTCTATCCATCAGGACATGCACACATAACAACACTCACACAAACACACATGCACCGAGCCACTACAACATTTATAACCATAAAGTCAAGTCGTTACATTTTGTGTGCCACTGGCTCTCAGATTATGGAGCATGACTGCAGTCCACAGCACATGCAGCATTTCCTCAACCAAACGATGAAGTGTGTTATTTCATAGCCACTAGAGTCACTGAAACAGAATTGCAAAAATAATGACTTTAAAGCATACATTCTATAACACACTCCCTGTCTGCATTTGATTAGACCAACCCGATCTCATAATAAAAAAAAGTAATTATTTTAATACAGTTATGAATTGCCATGAGAGTATGTTTGTCAGACTTGTGCCACAACCACACACCACTGGTTGAGCCAAAGCTTACACTTTTAGGAAAATAGATCACTTATAAATGTCTCTGCATGATCCATACTAACAGGAAACTATGGTCGAGAGCTGAAATTCCATTTACACAACTTTGCAATGCTGTTTGCAACTCTTTAGAACTATGGATTCGGGAAACACCAATTAGTTGATCAATGTTGGTATCGACAGAACTAATAGTTGGCTAACTATGCTTTTGGGAAATGGCTATATTGTCCAAAACCCATAAGTAGACAAGTCAAACTGCTCAAACTTGAAAGCACCACAGTGCAATGTATTCACATTTGAATGAGTTAAATGGCATGTGCAGCTTACAGTAAATTATCGCTGCATAAACTAAGAAAGTCTCTGGACACTGAAATTAAAATTACACTTCAACATTGACACACAACTCCAGAGACTAAACAATTATGGTGTTTAATGCCCTTCTCTTTTTCACGTTTGAATTAGTGTTCGAATAGAAGTAAGTGATACTTTTCAGGCCACTAATATGACAGGCAACCTATATAGAAGCTATAGTGAGAGCATAGAGACTAACCTTAAGAAACATCTGTGTGAAAGACATTCTTTGATCTCAATTTAATATCCCTTTGTGAATGCTTTTTGGGGTGAAACTCTAACATGGCAATTCCATCAAAACAGAAGAGGTGAGTCATTAGGACCACAATTTTGCAAAGAGCTGCTGAGGAGCGAGGAATAGGCTAGGAAAAAAAGAAAATCTCGAAACATGCAGCGAATCAGAGCGATGACCTTTCGCATCCGACAAGAATGAAATGATGGCACATTTTCAATCTAAAGTTGGTGTAGAGAGCGCCGCTGAGACGGAGGAGACTGTTGTGTGTGTACGTGCGTATCCATAACATTTCAAAGAGAGAACACAGCTGGCAGTTTGATTTGTGTATTATTACTGAGAGAGCACCATTATCTGTGCATTCATAAATTACCTCTATGATTTTCACACTTTATGAGACCCCAATTCCCCAAACTCCAGCTATAATAACTCTACAAGGATTGAAAAGTGCTTCATAAATGCCACAAACCCTCACTGTGCTGAACTTCTCCTTTGGTCCATCACCCTGTACTTAAAATTACCACCATTTAAAAGGTAAACACGTTTTACAGCATAGTGAAAAATGCACTCTCTTTCTGTATTACAATCAACAAACAAAACAAACCTACCTATTAGCAAAGCTCACATCCATACATAAACACTAACCACTCAAGCAAATCACTGCTCTTAGCTACACACTCATTACCTCTTCTGTGCTCAGCCACACTGACACAGTGGCAAACATCTGTGGGTTGTGGGGGGAAAAGACAGAAGTTAATATGAGTATTAATATAGCATGAGTAATTGTTTTAGTTTATGCTGGGAACTACAACGTATGTGTTGATCTAACACCTATTTTAACCAGCAGAATGCTGATCCTAACTGTTAAAAGAACCTGCAGGCTAAAACCCTCTGACATTTACAGCTCACTTAGGCCTTGCATGTCGATACGTTAGTGTTTTTTTGTGCAATTGTGTTCAAATAACTTTCATGGACAGATTTACTTTGATGTTTAAAGGGGTCATATGATGCTTTTTTAAAGATCATTATTTGGTGTATTTGGTGTAACAGAATATGTTGACATGCTTTAATGTTCAAAAACACATTATTTTTCAAATACTGTACATTATTGTAGGTCCTCTATGCCCCGCCTCTCTCAAACTCTTCGTTTTCTACAAACCCCCCTCCTTCCGACAAGCGCAGTCTGCTCTGATAGGCCAGCTGACCCAGTACATTGTGATTGGCCGAACACCGCCAGCACTCGTCGGAAATGTAAAGCCCCTTACCATAATCACGAGCGTCATCTTTCAGAATAAATGTAAAGACAGTAAATAATGTCATTAGTTTTACCATCAGTTCAAGCCTGAAAGGGGAACAGAGTTGCATGACAGACACAGTTATGAAGAACTTTGATAAAGAATATCTCTTTGGTTTTGAGACTTTAGTCTTTGCAACTTCAGGGATCTTATCTCTGCACAATCAGCTTGTAACACTCCAAAGAGAAAGGAAAACTTAAAATCGCATCATATGACCCCTTTAAATCTCCAGAATAAAATTATGTTGTTCCTTTTAGACAGGTAAGCTTTGTTACTCTGAGCATTATGTTCAATAAGTACCAATTTTTGTGTTTGCCAGACATGTATTCAGTTTAGCATGAGAGTCAATGGACAGTAATGTTTGTATATCTGAGTTAAAGGAATGTTGTGGGTTTAAAACAACTTAAGCACTGGAGGTAATTAAATGTAAAGTTGTTTAAATCGTGATTTCTTGAACTGGGAACACTCGTCTAGGTGGATGAACTTCTTGTTATGCATTTCCTACATAAATCCTGTCAGTGAAGTTTGCTCTATGTAAACAGTGCTTTACCATTAGTCACAGTATGTCAACTCGTCTTCACAACAAAATTTAAAGATTAGATATAATTTTACACAAAGTCAGTAGGCAAATCTTTTTTTTACTTGTCTCATAACATAATGTTTCGTGAATTTTGAATCAGGGTGATCAATAATCTGTGATTTTTTTTCTGTGATAATTAGGGATGTAATGGTATGAAAATTTCATATCACGATTATAGTGACCAAAGTTATCACGGTTATCAATATTATCACGGTTTTGTTAAAATGAGATTAAAATGTTCAAAAAGAACTAATACACACACTGAAAACATTTCAATAAGTTTTATATTTGAAAATCAACAAACAACAAACACAATTAGCAGCTGTATGCACTTTTTTTTTAGCATAAACATTAAATTAACATAAGTTCATAATGGATTTATAAACGGGTAAGATTTTAAAACATTAATCTCAATTCAATGTTTCATGTCCCCATATTTATATATTATTAGAGGTAAACAAAAAAAAGCTGTGTAATAAGTTAACTATGAATATACAATACATTATCCCTTAAATGGCAACCTTATAGTTTGAACGTTCGTTCGTCTTGGCTCAAAGCCACTTGCTGAGAACTTTTCTTCGTGGAAGCTTTGCGTTAATTACAAGTGAGATAACGAAATATTTAATTTCTAATCAATATTTTTTGTCCAATTATTTGCCCAGTTAGTTTTGGTATTGAGGTAAAAGTTACCTTGCATTCGCTATATAACAGTGGGGGGTGACCATCCTCGATTAAATTGCCTTCAGGACACTTGTAAAAGCCAAAATATGACCAGACCTCCGATTTGGTTCTCTTAGATGGCTGAAAAATCTCCCGAGCGCTGTCACTGCTTTCCTGCCATTTCGTCTCGTGCAAAAAAAAAACAACAACAACATTGCATGCTGCTTCTGTGTCAGACTGATGCTGGCTGGACAGGATTTACCGCGAGTTTTCAAAATCGCAATAATCAAACACGGTTTTGATGATAATTAAATTTTAAACGATAATACTAACCGTCAGGGCATTTTATCATGATTTATCGTAAAACCGGTAATCGTTACATCCCTAGTGATAACTGACATTAAAGGATTAGTTCACTTCCAGAATAAAAAATTCCTGATAATTTACTCACCCCCATGTCATCCAAGATG